TTAGAAAAACTTTAAGATGCGTTAAAACTGTCATAAGTATAATAAATAAATATAATAAAGGCTTAGTTTCATCAGCGTGTGACAGAAGCAAAAAAAAAAAAAAATTTCATGAAATAATGTTTTTAGTTACCATCTTGTGATACATCAACAGTGTACAGCAGATGCAAGCTAAGTTATATGATGATAACCACGCATTTGAAACTTTTCTAATATTGCAAACAAAAACCCAAATTTTCTAATTAATGGAATTTGTGGAGAAACAGTAATTAATTAAGATGATATAACAGAAATTTCTAATTACAATGACAATGCCCCATTCAGCAGTCAACTAACAGACAATGAAATCTGTAGTACGATTCAAAATCTAGTAAGTACTGCTACTAATCGTAAAGAAAATGACAAACAGGTTGTTGAGAATGAAAAAATTTTGACTGCCAATTTAGTGGAAATTTTCAACATGGCAATTACTGGACCTGAAAAATGGAACTTTGTTACGGAAGAAGAAATTATGTCTACCTATATTTGAAATATATGAAATTATGCCTTTGCCCCAAAAAACAAAACTTATATTGAAAGAAATTTTTTGATAAAACAAACAAATAATCAACGAGTTTTTTTGGGGATAGAGGTAAATTTAATTCCATTAACTTTTTCCGGCATGCTACCTTTTAAAGTCGGAGTTTTGATTTAAAAAAAAAAAAAAAGGTAGGCAGTCTAATTAGGCCTAGAGGAGGGTACTACTTTGGTAGATGGTTGCACGGATTTTGGCAAGTGATCCAACTTATGGTAAACCCATTGCTGGACAAGTTATTTATGGTAACCGATACTTTGTTGTCATTTTATTTTTAAAATAACGTGTTTTATTATGCATAAATTCTGCGTTTTAAATATTATTTATGACTTCTAAATATTACAAATCAATTTAACTTTGTATTTGTATTTGAAATAAAATTTTATTGTTTATGATATTTTATATAATTTTATGTTGTGGATGATATAATCAATGACATCATCTTGCATTAAAAATAATTGGTTTTAATATCTATAAATTTAATCTAATGTTTTAAACATTATTTATGGCTGATAAATATTAAGATACAATTTAATTTTGAATTTTTTAAAAAACTGATTTTATTATATATGTGATTATTTAAATAATTTTAATTCTATACGTGATGTAATCAGCTCCCTGATTGGTTACAGAATATTTCTGCATTTACGAACTGTAATCAGTTCCCTGATTGGTTACTGAATATTTGTGCATTACCGCGGCATTTCAAAATTTTATTATTCATTTCTTCGAATTCCTTAGATTTCATAGCCAACGGATATGTCCATTTCAAAGATTAATGTTGGTATCGGTAAGTACCAAGACTTATTGGTATCGGAATCAAAAAATTGGCCTTTAAGACCTTATTTTGGCCAACCGAGCTTTCCTAATCAAAGATTTATTTATAAATTGTTAGAAGGGTCAGAGGAAATTTATTTTAAATTTTTGAAGAAACCTCGCTAATTGCTTCTTCAGTGAAGTGCGAGAAATGTGGATCACAGAAGAAGATCGTTAAAAGAGCCGATTCTGAGGACAGCCATATAGGTTATTGTGGTCAATAACTGCTGCAATGGCAAAAAAAAAGTATTAGACATTTCTGCTTTTTCACCGGCAGTAAACTAATTGCTGACATTTTAGCTCTAGTGTATGAAGCGCACTTATTTACTTATTTTAAAGTTAAGTAATATTTTAATTCTTTTAAGCGTTGGTATGATGGTTTTTAATTCGATATTCAATTTAAGTAATATTTTAATCCAGTTAAACGTTGGCGCAATGTTTTTATGCTGGTGTTTTTATTCTATTTCTCATGCAAGTAATAATTTATCCTTATTTTAGTATTTTATACTCGTAGTAAATGTATTTATTTACATTTGCCTGCCATCTTAAAAAATGTTGCTTTCAACAAAAATTAATCCACTATTTTTAACCATGTTTATTTTTTTAAAGTTTCGAATACGTAAAAACAGTGTTTTTCAAGATGGCTGACGATTGTAAAAACCGCACCAACAATTACACCAAAGTAAATCGCCAAAACTCCGTGCAACCATCTACCAAAGTAGCACCTAGAGGAGTACACAAGTAAAATTTTGTGAAGATAGCACTTATCGTTTTAATTCCGTGGGTGTGAAAGTGGCACGCTGATTGAATAGAGCTTCGAAAAGAGTGCTGAAACGAGCATTGTTGTCAATGAACTGACCGATGAGATGCAGAGAAGCAAAGAATACAGACTCTCAGTTGTCCTAGATTATAGGCGAGCCTGGTCTGCACACACCTAGGGTTCGCCGTTTGATTTTATGTAAGATTTCAAGGTAAAAATTCAAAACTAATATAGAATAAGGATAATAGCATACAGCCAGAAATATAACATAGAAATTTCTTTTCAAACAATTCCTTTTATACCCTAAAAAAAATTTGTAAGATTTCTTGGTTAATCTTCGGATTATGGTAACTTGGTGATTTTTTGGCGAAAATTTGGCGACCAACCCTGCTACAGGAACCTGCTAGGTTTTTTTTGGGGGGGGGGGATGCCATTTTGTTTTCACAAAGTAAAGTATTCACGAAGTTTTTTTTTTTTTTTTTTTTTTTTAGTAAACTATTTGGTTAGTCTTTGGATTATGGTAACTTGGCAATTTTTTGGCGAACATTTGGCGACCAACCCTGCTACAGCAACCTGCTAGTCTTTGTTTGGACGCCATTTTGCTTTCAGGAAGTAAAGGCTCTTTTTTGTTTTTTTCAACATTTTTTTCCAACAATCTGCTAGCCGATTTACGCTTATGCCAGAACTTTTATGGAACAAAAGTGCTTAATCATGACGAAGATTAGGTGCGAAATTGGGAGAAAGTGCAGAATCACAAACTGCTTGCCACGTTTTAAGAATTGCACATACACGGTAACCATGTACACATTGACCTATTTTCACTTAAAAAAACATCCCAGAATTGCACAAAAATGGCATTGCGCACACTCTTGACTTTATCCATGTACACTGCTAAAGTCCTAGCTAGTAACCTTTATCGCCTTACCAAAATGTTGCCAAACTACCTGTTACCATATTCCAAAGATTAGCCTTATATGCTTTTATGGTAATACAGCTCTGGCAATTTATTTAATGGTAAGGCATTTGAAAAAAAATAGGCAATAGCTCTGGCAATTTATTTAATGGTAAGGCATTTGAAAAAAAATAGGCACTTTTGTAGCACCATTGAAATCTGAAAAAAGAAATTAAGTTTTACTAGATATAAGTATGCAAGTTTTTTAAAACTCTTTTATAATAATAGAATCAATTAATAATATATTTTAATAATAATACTAACATTTACCAAAATGTCGCCAAACTTCCTGTTACCATATTCCAAAGATTAGCCGGAAATTTTTAGGTGTGTCCAGACCGAACACACTGTGCCGGAAAGGATTAAGGTCATAAATGCTTCATTATTTCATAGATCACCATTTCATATTTTTAATTTTATAATTTCTACATGTCTTCTCAACAGATTTTAACTAATGCTCTGGAAAATTTCCCAAATCGAATATCTGGAAAAATCTGAAATCCGAAGTCAGGATCTCAGACTTTGTACTGCATATTATTGTTTATCTCATTTAGGCTAACAAAATCAAACAAAGACTATAAGGTCTTAATGCTCTCAAAAATAAACTCCAGGTAATGAAGTAGCTAATAAGATAAAGGGATGACACAGTTACATGTTATTTGCATAAAAAAGAGGGGATCTTGCAGTCAAACTTTAATTATCCATTACATAACTGGCTGAAAGCAATCTACTCTCTTCAGTCATTCAACCTGACAAAGGCAAGTTTAATTATTACATACATACCAGTTATGAGCGAGAAGATGAGTCAATTCATTGTCAAACAAACCAATTTACAAATCTGTTTCAAATCTAACTATTTATTAAATAAAGCTGTCAGATAATGCTATTCTTTAAAACTTTCCTCTTTGCAAATGTATCTGGTTGCATGCACTTAGATTATGATGTCAATAGGCTTTGTTGGTACATGTCAACCACTAAGATATTGAATGAAACTATGACTACTATTTTATGTTATGGAATAATGTACAAGATAGAACGGATATTGCACTATGCGAGTTTTTCAATTCCAAATTTTGAAATTATAATTGGCTCCACAATGGCTCTCAGCATTTTAATTCCCAAATTAGAGATTTTAACTGGACAAGTTAAAAAATACTAAAATCAGGAGAAAATATTAATAATCTTTTAGTTTAATAAAAACTAACATCAAAAGGTGCTTGAATTAATTGTAAATACTTATCTAACTTGATATACTGTGAAGCATTGAAAAGAAAGCCTGGCTAGATGCACAGGACTATTAACAAAATAAAAAACATTTTCTTCTACTTAAAACAAAAGCATCAAAATAAAAATGCGAATTACTTGGCTAATTGTTTTTCAATTACCTCAGTAATTGTTACTGCACATTAAATTTTTAACAGATAATCTGAGTCACAAACTGCAAAATGGATTATACAAAAAAAAAGGTCAAAGTAGGCAGCAAACAAGTACACACAAAGAAACTCAATGTACCCACCAAACTAATCCAATAACATACAAAGAGACTCATGACAAAAATAATCTATTCTGAAATATTTAAACACTTTTTTAGCTGAAAACTTTATACTTCCCATTTCATCTATTAAAAAAAATATAATTTATGACTATCTCGAGAAATTCAAATCACATACACTATTAATAATGTGACTTGACGCCGTGCGTCACACCATCTGTCATGACTTAAGCATGCGCATACAATTTACATTTATTATTTTATACACCATATGAAAGCATACACATTTTCCACGTGATCAACTGATCATGTGCCTATAAAATATTAATCATACATTATATATATTAAGATCTTGCACATGAGATTCAAGATACAAATTAAAACATAATTAATGTACAAGAATACTTACTTTTTCTTGTCACCCAAAAACGAAATGTACTAAACTTTCTACCCGTTGTAAACAGTTCTGCAAGGCACAGCGTTGTGGTAATGTCGTCAGATAAGCAAAGAGGAGTCGGATTACACAAACAACCTAGTGCTGCATGGTTCCTAGAGGACACACCTCTAACTTTAGAAATGAAGTTATTCTTTTTCAAAACCGAAACATCACTGCTATGCTGACAATCACGCAATTTTTCACTGTCAGTATATTAGCAATATCAATTTCAGATGAATGAAGTATACATACGTTATATTACTACTCATTCATTTCTCAGATGTATTTCTCAATTCGTAAAACCACAAGTGGGCGAGAGTTTGTAAACCATCCAAAAAAGGAAAAGCTTCCACTACACTGCTTGTGCGTCTATAGTAGTCTTCGAAATGATCATTGGTTAAGAGTTTCTATGTGGGACAGACATGCGCATTGAAACTTCCTTCGTCTTGCCCGAAATGTATTACAGAGTGCTGCTGAATGGCAGAGTCGTGCGTATTAAACCTCATTTTGGTATGGAGTAAACGTTTGCAATTTTATTACCACGAGTAATGGGTTTAATCTAAAAACGTGTTTTGTTTATTACAATGATACATTTACATTTCAATATTTTTACTTTTCACTTCACTACAAAAAGGTAATATATAATTCTAATAACGTTAGTCAGGAGAAAATTGGTTCAAAAAATATGCCTGAGGTACTTTTAAGTAAATATAATTTTATGAATTTCATGAAAATTATCGCGGTAAAAGTTTTCAATCGGTGCCCCTCGATATTTTGGACGAATATTTTAATGCCAAGAATAGCGCTAAGAAGCAATGTTTCCAAGCTGGCTGTCATACAAAACAACGCTGAAAACGTATCTTACAAAAATAACAAAAGTACTCACCTTGTATATTCTTGGCTATGTTTTACTATCAGCGTCGGATGACTACAGTATATACAATTCTTTAATACAATTTATGTATTCTCAGAACGTATCCTGCTCCTCCTGACTTTGATACCCACGACGCCACAAAAGTTCGGCGAAGTTGCAAATTTCATCTCCCGCCTTTGATAGGGTATGGCACAGGGAATTTATATACAAACTTATCAAGTTAAACTTCCCCTATTATTGTATTAGACTTATTGTTCCTTATCTCCAAGACAGAATCTTTGCAGTGAAAATTGGCAGTTCTGTTTCTTCCACGAGAAAAATTTTCGCTGGAGTGCAAGGATCTGTACTTTCTGTACATTTATATAACATTTACATTTACGATATTCCTAAGAACTCATAAATTACCATTGCTCTTTTCGCTGATGATACTACAATTATGACCCAAGCTTCTACTGTTACTGTTGTCCAGCTCCTTCTTCAACATTACGGCAATCATTTAGAAAATTGGCTTACTCTTTGGAGGACTGCAGTTAATACCGAAAAATCAAAAGCAATAATTTTTCACATAGGCCAAACAAATTTCACTCCACCTAAACCTCTTCTGTTTGATGAAGAAATTGACTAGGTTGACGAAGTTAAATATCTAGGAGTCATTCTTGATAAAAAATTGACTTTTCAGAAACATCTCAGGAAAACTGTGAAAAAAATTAATATCACGCTTGCAACTATGCGTCCACTTCTTGGCAGAAGTCCTATACCCGCTTCTAATAAACTCTTATATAAATCTATACTTCGACCAGCATTACTGTATGCTAGTCCTGTCTGGGGCCCCACTGCCAAAACTCACCTTCAACACATTCAAGTTCTTCAAAATAAAGCACCCAGAGAGATTATCAACGCGTCATGGTTCATTCCAAATTCGTATATCCACCGTGATCACAAAGTAGATACAATTCAAGATTATATTAAAAAAATTGCCAGAAATTTCTTCTATTCAATTCTCACTCATCCTAACAACTGCATCAACTCTCTTAGATGTTCTCCATTTCCCACCAAAAAAGCACAAATATCCATCTGACATTCTCCATCCTTAACATTTTTTACTCATACTAGATTCTTCAGTTCACTGATTTGGAGCTTCGACTAGAAACTTACTTTTTCGTCGATTGATGCCGGCCACCTGACTTTACTTTCGTCTTTTTGTTTTACCGATGTTCTTCACGTGATGCACAGTAAAAGGAGGCGCTGCTTTCTGAAACTCAAATTCACTATATGTTCTTAGTAGCTTAATCTGGCTCCACATGCCCTCAATAGTCTTTGTACAGGTGTTAGTTTCGGGGTCTTTATATGTCATAGAATGATTGACTGAAAAATCCTTGAAACCCTGATCATCGTGGAAATCATAGACTTTCCATCAGTCGGAAATAATTGTGGTTCTAGAAAAGATTTTCCAAGCTATCACCCCCAACAACGTCTCTTTCGTGCGATCCTCCACAAGGAGAAAAACGAGTGCAGACATACTTCTTTGGGAAAGTGACGGAATAATGATCGTATGACAACGAAACTCAACGGCAGTTAATTTTCAATAATTCACATTACGGTGAAAATTCAAAATACATCTATAAATCGCGTAGCCCTCAATTAGTAAACTAAGAATTTTCAGTCAGGTTAATTTTAAGAAAAACACTGGCACATAGAAATAAGTGGTTGCCATAACATTGGGAAAAAGGTCAGTTGTGGGTTACCAGAAAAGCAGTAGTAGCATCGATATTTTAAGCCAATCTAAGAAGGCACCCTTTTCTACTCTGAAATCTTATCGCTTACTTTTTTGTTGAAATTACTAATCATGGCTAAAACGCAGATAAAATGTTAGTATCATATCACAGCTCTGCTGTTGAAAGTAAAGAAATCTTGAAGAACGCTATGCATGTCTAATGTAAAACAAAATGCAACACAAATGTGTGAAAGAAAGGGATATTTCTTGTATCCAGCATTTGAAGAGTATGTTCTGCACAGAAAGAACATTTTAGATGTGCCTCCCTGGATGGTATAGAGTTAACATAGATTAAGTACTAGCTTCACTAAATGTGTCAGTTTAAATGCAGAATAAATTCGTTATGTGTGTGATTGGTCTTCCCTCGATCCCTATTGTGCATACTGTTCAACGTTCTAAGCGATAAGACATGATAAATGATCAATAGGTTTAGCCTCATTTCTTGACGTATGTTTAACCATTAATTACTCCACTGTGGGAAAAACGAAATTGATTTCAGATAGCAAACAAGGCAGGCAATATATATCATCTGACATTCACACGTTGATTTTGCGCTTCTTCGAACGAAGTAGCGCGCATTCCTTTCAATGATTTCTGGGCTACGATCACTTAGAACGTGATTCGGGGAATACCTTTTCTAGGGGTGAGCCCTTTCCTTCGAAATTATTTTGCCTGTATTTTAATCGTGTAAGCCGTAGGACCCAACCATGATGCTCTAGCTGAGAATGATCCCTGGAATAGCAATCACATTATAAAAAGTTTTCATAGCGAACGCTCGTTCCTTACCACTCTACTGCTCAATTATTACTAAATGGCAAAGCGTTCTTACTCATGTAATGCCGGTCTTGAAAAATTGCCCGGAGTTGTACGCCCCCCCCCAATGTTCAGAGACCAGGGAATAATGCTCCCTTGGGCCCTGTTTGGAAGTGGGGTTATTGGAGAGATTTTAAAATGCCCATAGGACTCCAGAGATGGGTCCTCTAAAGTCCGGCAAGCTGAGTTTGTGTCAAGGTGGCTCCAAGGGTGTACTTCCATTCCCTGCCTAATATGAGGTTTTGCATAATTTACAGTTACAAAGTTCCAGCGTTCAAGTCATTTTTATCGTGATGAGATTTCTCACTAATTTATCAATCGAAATCTTTTCCTTCTAAAACATCTGTTGCCACTATCTATTTTCCCGGATTTTAAACCATACTACAGATTTGACAGTATATTAATTTATTGCTGAGTATGGCATTATCATCACAATAAAAAACTGTTATATCTTCACAAATTCCATTAATTGGAAAATTTTGTTTTCTACAGCGTTCAAATTCTACCTAAAAATAATGATTGCTGTTTAGGCTAATTTTGAAACTGCACTTTCTTAAGTCTGAATTTCATAAACAATTCTTTTCTCATGCCAAGGTTTCTACAGAAAGCAAGCACCAAATATTCGTTTGCTTCGTAGATCCTGCTACAGCTTCACAAACTTTAATTTTGATAATATAGCTGTAATAAAGATAGCCTTCAAAAAATAAATCTGTTAAAAATAACAAGCTGGTATCGAATTAATTAGGGAGGAGTGCAATATTATTATATTAATTGAAATTAATTTTTAAAATTCTTTTCCTCTTCCCGCTGTTACACTAGCGAAGGAAAACCAGAATTAGCATCACAGCACTCCAAAACAAATTTGTCTTAAGACTTCACTTATTGTTTAGATCAGACAAAAAAATATAGCCCTCCCCACCAACCTCCACAATCAGTCAAGTTGCAACTAACTTTAATCAATGTTATGCTATTGGCCATGATGCTGTTATTTCACCAGCAGGTGTTTTGAGTGACATACAAGAATCAATATCAGTTAGTCGAGAGGAAAATAATTTTTGTAACACAAAAGCTTTTTTTCCAATTTTGTTAAAAAAAAAAAAAAAAAAAAAAAAAACAGGGGAAGCCGGTCTGAAGGTTCAGTGTACTGTAATAGAGAGTAAGGTGAAAGATTACAGTCTGCACCATGGAGGTAGGAAAGGGAGGAGGGGCCATTCCGCGCTAGAAGTGAAGCACTGCTTTGAAGCTTGGGTCACCAGCGGGGTGTTATTTGTTTACATTCAGAAGCTCGCTTGACAAGATTCTGATAGTATTTCGACACACGACAGTTCCATAGAAATCGAAAAAGGGACACTCTCGCATGAAAGAAACATTCATAGTGGGATGGATAATAGCAATTTGTATAGTTTACTGAAATTTACGCAAAAATCACATCTTGGTTACTTTTTGGTAACTAACAACAGCGATTTTGATTATGAATTTGTTTCATAAAATTCTAAGCTGTTGCACTACAAAAATATAGATTTTAAGAAAATTGCTAAAAGAGATCTGCCAAAATTTATTTTCTAGAAGATTTGAAAAGTTTGAAACTTGATGGCTAAATGTAAATATAAAATTATGTATGTTAAAATATTTGTAATTAGGCACATAGGTCAGATTAAGTTTTTATTAAATAAAGTAACGCATGCAAGGGCTATCTGCCTAAAGAGAGAGATGCCGTCATGGAAGAATTTTGAAGAAAAACTGACCTTTGAGTGGGTATTAAAAATAATACTTATAATTTTCATTCAAATTATATTCATATATATTTTTTATGTAAAACTTTCGGGTGTATGCTAAATTAGTGTAAATTACTTTACACGAAAAATATAGTGAATGCACAGAAATTAAAGATTTGCACATGCCGGAAATGATAAATAGGAAATATGTATGGGTATTTATGCATGTGCTTGCAAAAAGCATGTATCTGCCTTTGACAAAATACTTAAATATTCATTAAATTATTTATAAATGTATTTGAAATGAAGAATTTATTCACTTATAAACAACTGTGAAAGTACTGTGAAGAAATCTACTGATTAAATGTATCTAATTTATAATGATTATAAATATTATCTAAATATATAATAACCTTAATATTGAATTGTAAACATAAATTAAAATCATCTTGACAAATACGTTACAAAACTATTTAAGCAAGAATTGTTCGCATTGGAAAGCAATCTGTTAAAAGGTATTGTAAAGCAAATGCTATGAGATGCGCACTTAAGAACTTAATAAAGAGATTTGGAATATGTATTGTTGAAATGAAGGGTGAAAAAAAAAAAAATCTGATAAGTATAATTAAAAGAATTATTCCCCTTACATTTTATAATAACTCAGTTACACGTTTTAAATAATACTTAAAAAAAAAAAAAAAAAAAAAAAAAAACATTTATTTTATTCCCTTTCAGAAATGTTCAGAGAAAGTCAAATACTATTTAATACATATTCGCTAATTCCTAATAATTCTCTAATTTAAAATGAACCGAATAGAGCATTAATTATAAATTGACTTACATTTTTCGATTTAAAAGAAGCCAAAAAATCATGTCATATTTAAGAAAGTATTTTAGGAAGAAGCTCTATAAATAGAAAAGAAATAATGCATAATTTTAATATTAATAATACAATAAACTTTGATCTTAATTTTGTACCTTAACCGAATAAAATCGAATTACCTTAATTTTTTTTCTAATGTAATTAACGAAAACTTGTGAAAATATTTCATTCAAATTAAACCATTCTGAGAAAACTGTCCTGTGAAAAGTATAGCATTTAATTCCGTTCAGAATGAAATGTTCTTTAAAAATATGTTGTTTTCACATACTTAGGACTCTGAAGTGTTGTAGAAAAAGAAAATATATACATTTATATGTATATTTGCGACGTAATTACAAATATTTTACACCCCGAAACGCGTCAAATCCCATAGAACTCAATGGTAAATGACCCAATGTTTTGGTCACCACGTAGGGATCGCCGGTGCTTCAGAGTAGGGTACAGAGAAACTTGTTTAGGGCGACTCCTTCTTACTTCCTACCTCCATGGTCTGCACTAATAAGCTGTTTGGAGTGCTGTCTTGCAGAGATTTATCATTTAATAAAAGCAAAAGTCTCTTAAACTACAGAAGAAATTGTTTTACAATCCTGCACTTGTTTAATAGTCTAACAACAGTCATTTCTAGACTAGTAATGATATATGTTACATCATTTGCATATACTTCCAAGTTTTAGACTATTTAGAACCTAGTGTCTTTTTAAACTTTCAAGCAGCCAATAATTAGGGATGTTTGAAATCGAAGGGGGGGGGGAAATTCTTGACCATCTCAAAACGACTGTATATCATGAGAAAAAGGATTCGCTTGGCAATCATAAGTACTTCAAATAACTGTCCCATTTCTTAATAATTAATGCATTAATACTCTCAATTTAGTCTTTAAGATGCTTACTTTAACATTAAGTGGCATAATAACTACATAAGAGATTCCATCAAAGTTGTTCCAACTGTTCATGTGGAATTACGAGTTGCATTTCTCTCTGCAACTCGAAACATCAACTGCACAATCCACCAAATATATGCGGCAAGTGAAAAATCTGACTGGCTTCATTTTTACATTATAGATTTCTCCTTTGTTTGGAACTCCAGTTTCACAGAATGCTATGAATGCAAACTTTCTGCATTCTTTTCCCTTTCCAGAGATGTTAATTCTTTCAACACGCTGTATGACATTCAATCACAAATGTGATTCTATGACTCTTAAACTAATTTTTTCCCAAAATGCAAGGAAAGTAGACAGCAATAACAAGTAATTTATATCCTTATTCATATAAATAAAAGGGAGAAAAATGTAGACATAGAACATTTAAATTTTGTATATGTTACTACTATAACATCTAGTTGTGCACCTTCCTCCTTTTTTATTGCAATTGGCAGTACCAAAGATGGATATATATATATATATATATATAATGTTGTATGATCTTAAATCCATTTAGTGCGAATACAAGTTATTATTACTTGCGCAATTGCTGCAAAGTTAGTTAATAATAATTTATTTCCTAAACAGTATTGATTAATTGATTATAGTATGGATGCACATTTTTAAAATAATTCTACTTTAATTAAACTTAGGAGATAATATAATCAACTAATCAATACAATTTAGGAAATAAATTATTATATATATATATATACCCAACCCTTTATGTGGCCTCTATTTTGGCAATAGTTGGTTATAGTCATATACTTCCAATTACAGAACTGTTTTAAATTATGCAAACATCTGTTTTGGTAATGGGAGGAGAAAAGGGGGGGATTTTTTGCAGTCTCCCAGTTTTTATGCTGGGAAAATTTTATAATCATTACAAAAAATAATAATGATAATAATAAAATAAAATTACAACAAGTTTGACTCCCATATGGCAAAAACTGACAGTGACATTTAATTTCAAAATTTGCAATTTTTTATGTTGCTCTCAACTGGCCTCGAGAGATCAATTCATTATGTCAGAATAATTCGAGGAAATAAGCTTAAATTAAGAGCAGCAAACAATTTGTAGAATTTAATAGGCCATACAAGGAAGTTGTGGTGTTCACATCAGACTTTTTTTTGTTGTATACATGGTCAGCTTTGTTAGGTCAATTCAATATTTTAGACAATGATCTTTTAAATCATTCATTACAAAAAGTTTTATGTTTATTTCAAATGAAACATATACAGAATATGTAAAATTTATTTAATATACTTCCAACTACAAAATTTTTAACAAAGTTACACCATTTTTTCATCTTGATATTTATAATGGAGATCAGTACAATCTTCCTCGCTGATCTTCTTCCAGCCAACTTCTCTCACATGGTAAACTATCAAATACAAAAGAATAAAATTAGAAAATGCTGTAAAAAATATTTGAATCATAATAATTATTATCTAGTCTAAAATTATACACAAAAATATATTGCTACATCCCTTCCTAAAAGTTGTATACTCTCTTACATATTAGCAATGACGTTGTAATACCTACTACTACATTAATACAGCAGCATGTTTTTAAATAGTACAAGAAATTAATACAAGTCATTAAAAAAATGGATGCCGTTCATTGCAGCATATAACGAAAATCCAACTACAGTGGTAATTCGGTAGACATTCATTAATCCATTCCAGATCCTTGGACGTATACCAAATGAACTTTTCGAATAAGAAATCAAAGGGAAAATAATTAGCCCATTCCTATGCTAAAATATAAATGTGGTGGGTGAAATATACACTGCACATATGAAGCAGTATAAATTCAGCCATCGCGATAACAGAAAGACATTTATGTTCAATATCACTGCACATGATATTATACATAAATGTTTCTACATCAAAAGCAGTTTTTCGCCATGCACTTTGCCTTTGCTTGCTAATTGACTTCATTCCCTTTGCAATATTAGCTGATTTAATATCATCTGCTTTTTACAGTGGTAGACACAATTGTACTTGACATATGATATGTAATAGCAAAGTCCTAGATACGCATGCCACCTTCATACTTCTAATTTTTTTCCCACCTAAATATGATCCCAAGAATTTTATCTGCTGCTCGACTTTTCTTATTAACTCACTGAAAATTCTCTCACAGTTTTAGTGAGCTGCTAACTGAATAGTAACAGATGCTCATGAGCAGTTGTAGCATTCTGTCAGAAGAGGTGCAAAAATGTAACATGCACACTCACTCACAGAATTCAAGTTGTATTCCAAGAAAAAATTAATTCAAGAAAAATTGTCATGCTCAAACAGGTATCTTCAAAACTTTCATCATTTGGTATCTTCAAAACTTTCATCATGGTGCAAGTTTTATTTTCCCTAAAATTGACTTTTATTTTAAATTTTAAAACTTAAAACATAAAATATCTGAAAGGTTTCGAATTTTAAATTAAGTCTAAAAGGGCTTTTTTTACATTCTGTGTGTTACCTTTATTTATTAATATCATGTTCTTCGCATTTAAACCATAAAATTCAATTCAAGAGCAAAATCACAAAATACAGTCAAAAGTCTTTAATCCGGACTCGTCAGGACTTCAGCGATTCCGGATTATAGATCATCAGTTTAAATTTAGTAAGATGGCATGCAGAAATTATAAAATTAAAAATATGAAACTGTAATTTATGAAATAAAGAGCAATTATGATCGAAAGGGTATAAAAATTTTACACCCCCCCAAAAAACTTCGTGATTTTTTATAATGACGAATTTGATTTAAATCATATCAAAGACGGAGTACATCGAGATGAAATACTACATTTAGTAAGGAATTATAAGCCGAATAAAATAAAAACATCTGCCCTGAAGATGAGGATAGTGCTGACAGATCAACTTCCAGTTCATTGCGCACCGCAACGTCCCCCCCGTAGAGCAGCGTGAAATTCATAAACATATTTCGGAATGGTTAGAGAAACAAAGGATATGCCTTTATCCATTTTTTGCAGCAATTCCATTTTTGTTTGATGGACATCGAAACATGCTTTCACTTTGTAGATCCTTTGGCAGCTCCAGAATCGGAAATTCTTTTTCACATAATCGAAAGTTCAAGCTTACTTTTATAACATTGCTCTAACAGTCTGCAAAAAATAATAAGCCGGATCCAATTAGAAAATTAAGGAACAACGCAATCTGCAACATTAACTGAAGTAGATAATTAGATAATTTTAGCTTAGTCCGTTATACATTAAACGCGCACAAATAAAGGTATTATGTGCATGCGCATGCAGAAAGTTTGTAGCTTTGAGGTACGGATTATAGATCATTCCAGATTATGGACGTCCGCATTAAAGACTATTGACTGTAGTTTTAAATTGAGCATATCTTTAGAATTTCTGATACACAGTCTGATGCGCTGGACATAAAAATGTTCTTTTCTATACAATGCTGCCACTGCTCGCTTTGAAATCTTTGAGTTTGTTAATCAAAAATTCATTAAAGTGTTACTAAATATGAAATAGACAATAAAACAAATTCGAAATTTGGGCTTCCAGATGCCCATATTTGCAGGAGAATTACATCATTCAAAATTTAATGGCTCTAGGTACCGTTATTTTATCACAATGCCAGAAACATACATACACGTATGCAGATTCTTCATTATTTAATTTCTTCAACTATAATACAGGGCAATAATATTTGGCGGCAACTGTTTGGAAAGTGAAACGGACATTCAGAGCGATTCGACAAAAAATCGCAAAACGAAAACAAGTCCCTCAAGGATAAACCCTCTTTGGACTAAAAATTTATAAAATTTAAAACTGGTCTAACTCACTGTTTTGTAGCAAGTCTTCGATATCTTATGTCAAAGCTAATTAATGTTTTTTAAAAATGATACTCTGTATTTATTGGGTCAGTCCATAAGTTCATGTGCATTAAGAGTATGCGTGGAATTCACTATGACGCATTTACTAAATACAATTTTGAACCTATTGAAACTTGTCACAACTTTCGTAAATATCGAACACATTTTAATACCCATAGAAGATGAATATAGACAATCAGTACAAACGTGCTGTGCTAAATTTTTATTTTCATGTAGTGAATCTGCCAGGTTTGCAGCGATAAAAAATTAAAAGTGTACATGGTAAACACACTATTAGTGTGAGAACTACCCAGAAATGGTTTAAAAAATTTAAAGTTGGAAAAAGCAGCATTGATGATAAACCCTGTTCAGGACATTTTGAACTGTTAGAACCATATCAAACGATTAATTCAGAATTTTATAGTGAACAACTTTGCAATCTAAACTCGAAATTGATCAAAAAACGCCTAAGACTGGTGAATATCAAGAGTGTTGTTTCATCACTATAATGCTAGACCGCGTACAGCTCGAACAACGCTGCAAAAAATTACTGAATTGGGAGTTTTCGCCACATACTGCTCTCCCCAGACATTGCCCCAAGTGATTTTCACTTATTTCGTGCCTTACAAAATTTTTTACTGGGAAAAAAAGTAAATTCTAAACAGGATGCACACAATGAACTGTTAAGTTTTTTTTGCATCAAAACCAGTCTTTCTACAGCAATGGCATAAAAAAGCTGCCTGTAAGATGGCGAGACATTGTAGATAATGGAGGAAAATATATAATTGATTAAAATGTTAAATTGTGTTTTTTTATATTATTTAAAAATTTACCAAAAAAATGCACATGAATTTATAGACTGACCCAATAAATCCAATTAGATTGGATTTTGCTTACTTTGCAACATTTCTGCATTTTTATATTTTATTTTAAAAAGTTTTAAATGTTTTATACAGGAATATAAAACATTTTTAATATCTATGACTGAGGAAAAGTCGTCACTTTTCTTTCATGTTATAAAAAAATACATATACAGTTTTTAATCCGGACTCATCGGACTTCGGCGATTCCAGATTATAGATCATCAATTTAAATCTAGTAAGATGGTATGCAGAAATCATAAAATTAAAAATATGAAACTGTAATTTATGAAATAAAGAGCAATTATGATGTAAAGGATATCAAAATTTTTAAAAAATAAAGAGAGACAGAGAGCTTAATATTTACTTGTTTACCTTATTAAACATTTCTTTCAACGCACGTATGTGTAAGGCATACATTACACATAGTCAAAATTAGAAAATTGCAACCAGAAAACTAATTGATTTGTATTCGTGATATTTATCATGACGAGGAATTTGATTTAAATCATATCAAAGACGGAGTACATCAAGATGAAATACTACATTTAGTAAGGAATTATAAGCCAAATAAAATAAAAACATCTGCCCTGAAGATAAGGATAGTGCTGACAGATCAACTTCCAGTTCATTGCGTGCCGCGTCGTCCCCCGTCCCCCCCCCCCGCAGAGCAGCGTGAAATTGATAAACATATTTCGGAATGGTTAGAGAAACAAAGGACCTTTACCCATTTTTTGCAGCAATTCCACTTTTTGTTTGATGGACATCGAAACATGCTTTCACTTTGTAGATCCTTTGGCAGCTCCAGAATCGGAAATTTTTTTTGACATAATTGAAAGTTCAAGCTTACTTTTATAAAATTGCTCTAACAGTCTGCAAAACGTGCATGTGTAAAGGTATTATGCGCATGCATAAATACATTATGCATTTACGCATGTGCAGAAAGTTTGTAGCTTTGATGTTCGGATTATGGACCCCCGGATTAAAGACTTTTGACTGTATATATATATATATATATATATATTAGGATTAGGAGAAAATTAGATTTGTAATTTCTGATTTAAATACCTTTTAAACATAGGTATTCAGAAAAACATTTTTCTGGCATACATTTTATTATTTTCATTCATATATAAGTAAAATTTTAGTGCAAAGTTTAGAATATCGATACTTTAACATTTTATTTCTTCAATCAAAAGTTTCATAACCAGCCATCTTAGACTCGTGTTTAGAATTTTGTAAGAATTTAAATCAAGTGAAGTGTCAATGCATAAAGATTTTTGAGAATTACAAGTAGGAAGTCATAAAAACTTTAATTCTGTTACAAAACACAAACCTGTTTTCTTAGGATTCTTCTAAACTTGCATAAATTATATTTATTGAATTAAAAAGGTGTGTGTAATTATGGCAAAGCCCCGAGGGCTATCTGCCTAAGGGGAGGGATGCCTTCGTGGAGGACTTTCTAAGGGAAACTGGCTTGTATACACGTTACACATGGAGAAACCACGAAAACGCCCATGCAGCCAGCTCGTTCGCGGGATTCGAACCTCGGACTGAACTACCAGTGTTCAGCGACTTTACCGCTCGGCCGCTGGTGGGCCAAATTAAAAAGGAAAAACTGAAAACAGAAGTTTAAAATTTATAAGCATATGGGGAAGTGAGAGAGGCAAGATGAATTATAATACAATTTTTTTAATATCCATAGAAACTTACCACAGAACTGAATGATGATTTTATTATACAAAAACATATTTCTTTTTTCTCCTCCTCTCCTAGACCAGTTCAAATACATTAATTTCAAATTATTTTACAAATTGTTGTTTCCCTTTAGTTTAACTTTCGTACAACATTATTACGATATGAGCTTTGTTCGGAAAGTATCCAGCTATTTAAGGGAGGAATATCTAAATCTTCAAACACTTCTTTAATCTTCAAACACACAATATCTAAGTTTTGCTTTAAAATATCTAACGTACACAACATCCTTTTCTTTTATCGAATAATTTGCTAAGAACTTTTTCAAGATATCATTAACTGCCTTGTCTCTATGAATCTCTGACCTGTCAAAGGTAATCTTTTTGAAGGGTAGAGAGAAGATAATAATTACAAATAACCACGTCTTAACTGTGATGATGCAGAATTTGATCAAAAACTCAACAAGAAAAATACATGGTAGTACTTACATACATGGTACAACAACTTTGAAATTTGATGATTTTTTAAAGAAAAAGAATGACGATATATTTATCCCACGTACATATTTTACATTTTAACTAGGTATTTATTTCCCAAAACAATAAATAACTTACAAACAGATTTTCGTTTCTTTAGTTCCGGCAGAAATTTTGTGGTGATAATTTTAAGACCAGATTTAAAGCAATTGCTCAAAAAAGCATAGTCCTCACGAACTTTTAGTGCAGTTTCTTCTACTGGAGGCAAAATCCACAACAGTACACTTTAAAACTGAGGTTAAAGCACAAAATAATATGGTTTATTTATAAAAACTATTGGAACTTCGAATACAATAAAAAGAACAGACTCAAAAATTGTAGTACATTTAGTTACAACTAAAGTATTGTTATGCAAATGGTTGCCAGAGTTTGGTGCACTTTGAAAATTTTGCATCTTCTACTCAGGTCGTTGTGTTAAACCCCTTGCTACGCATCCTGCGATTTCCACAGGAAACTTAGAAGTAGCAAAATCTTCGATGCAACCCACTCTTTTCCTGTTCAAGGTTTCTTTTTGGCTTTTCTGTGATGTTTAATTGTTTATTTAGATGTGGGCTAACAGATGACGTTAGTTGTCCGCATTTCTGCCAAATATACAAGAATACGTAATGTAGCATTTTGCGGACGATATTTCCAACACGGATAGTAGTTCTGACTCTGATTTCAAGTATATTGAAGTTGTTAATCTGGATTCGTCGGGACTTCGGCGATTCCGGATTATAGATTATCAGTTTAAATCTCGTAAGATGGCATGCAGAAATTCTAAAATTAAAAATATGAAACCGTAATTTATGAAATAAAGAACAATTATGATTTAAAGGGTATCAAAATTTACTAAAAAAAAAAAAAGCTTAATATTTATTTGTTTACTTTATTAAACACTTCTTTCAATGTAAGTTGTTTAAGTTGCTTCGTTTTATGTGATAATACTTTCTCTTTAATTCTATAAACAGACATAATTTCTTGTTCATTTACAAAGTTCCGCTGTTCAAGTCCCGTAATTGCTGTGCCGAGAATACCGACTAACTTGTCAATCGAAATTTTTTCGTTTTCACTAACCTCTCGGTCACCTTCTTCATGTCTTTATCCATTTTTTGCAGCAATTCCACTTTTTGTTTGATGGACATCGAAACATACTTTCGTTTTGTAGATCCTTTGGGAGCTCCAGCATCGGAAATTCCATTTGACAGAATCGAAAGTTCAAGTTTACTTTTATAAAATTGCTCTTACAGTCTGTAAAAAATAATAAGCCGGACCCAACTCGAAGATTAAGGAACAACCCAATCATCAACATTAACTGAAATAGATAATTAGATCATTTTAGCTTATACCGTACGTTATACATAAAACGCGTATGCAAAAACGTATTCTGTGCTTGCGCCCACGCATATGCGCAGTCGTAAAGGTCTTACGCGCAGAAAGTTTTTAGCTTTGAGGTCCAGATTATAGATCATTCTGGATTATGGGTGTCCGAATTAACGACTTTTGACTGTAGTTATAGCGAAACTGATGAGAATTTCTCGGATTTCCTCTGCAGATAGTGATGAATCTGAAAATTCAGTTTCTATTGAAAATGTTCGACAGTGGTGCAAAATTGATATGCAAATATTTTCATTAGCATATATGTGTTACCTTTGTATTTTATAAAATAAATCATAATTTAACCAATATTAATTTTCAAAATTTTCCTTTTATATCATTATTCTTCAATTTCAGTATTCTGACAACCTTTTTCTATGACCTAATTCTATATTGGGGGGAACCCCTCTTTTATAAAAAATTTTTGTATATTTTAACTCTAAAATATATGTAGATTTGAAATATGTAATAAAAAATATGCAATTTTTTAACCTACTTTGATAAAAAAAAAGTACGCAGTGAGAGGGTTAATAATTGTTATGCAAATGGTTGCCAGAGTTTGGTATATTTTGAAAATTTTGCAGGTTCTAATTAGATAGTTGTGGCAATATGAAATATTGAGTATACAAATGTGTTCTAACAAGAAAGTTTCCAGTTAACCTTATTGACATATGTAGCCATCAAAGTGCTTATGAGAGCTTATATGTTTGTTTAATAAGAAGTACAGTAACTTTGAATGTTAAAGCACATCTTTCAATTTTAGATTCACAGCCAGAAATAATCAAGCTTATAAAGATTTGTAGAATCCCCAGGAAGACCAAAAGCTAGGCCTCTTCAATCTAACAGTTAAAACAAATTGTGAACATAACTCAAAAATTCTCAAAAGAATAGCTATTTCAAAGATTGTATGGTACTTTATAATAATCCAGACAAAATTGTTTGGTTATTTTTATAATATCAAATACTTTTGTAGAATAAAAGTATTGTTCTGTTCATAATTAATAATACATAGAAGCATTTTGTAAGAAACAAATTATATGAGTGGAAATAGAAGTCTGCTTGGCTGCAATAAAAGGAGAAAAACAAAGCTCCCGGTCTTGGTGATTGACAAAAAATGTGAAAGGAAAAGAAACTAAGAAGTACTTTAAAGTATGATTTCTAATTGGTATCTTTATCATCTATAACACATAATTTAAGCAATCAGATAGGTAATAGATACAATCCAATACATATTGCTTCTAAAAAAAACATAAGATATCTCCCATATGCAATGGAAAGGAAAAATAAAATTCATTTTATTGCTATTCATATTATTGTGATAGACTTCCATCTACTAAAGTATAGTACTATTTTAGGCATTTCTTTTAAAATTAATTCACAATTTTGGAAGGGTATCCTTTTAAAATCTTAGCATTTGTTTTCAATGACTCTTCATTTTATAGCATTATAAGGACAACAGAGTCTTAAAACGCAAAGTCATGTGTTATTTTTATGCATGAATTTGGTTTGAATATGTAAATAAGCAAGGAAAAGATGTTTTACCTCTTATGATACCACCACTGTAAGCATCTCTGTGCGTTGCATGGTATATCGACCTACGGCCCAGTTCATATGCTTCTTCATCCTCCATATCATAACTATACCCACTGTCCATTACACCATAAGCATAAGTAGCACCAGAACCAACAGCAAATATTTGTCCAGGAAAACGATTACCTTCACTATCAACATAGTACAGTCCAGGTCCCTGACAAATAAATTACGAAGATATACAACTTAAATTATGAACCAATAATAAACTATATTAAACAAGAACTGATCATTTAAAGAATTTTCAACCCACTGTTTTATTCTCATGTGTTTGCTGTTGCTTGAATGAACAATATAACAACAGAAAAAAAAATTACTTTTATTTAAATACTGTATCAGAGATTACCAGTTTTCCAGTTAATGAGGCATTTAACCGGAATACCTGAGGTCTTGCGATAGCTTATATGCTTTTAATAATTATTATATTAGCATTTACCGCATTACTAAGCCTATATTTAGCCTATTTTACACAGCTTGTCAATATATGGTTTCATTATTTAGTCACAAAATGGAGCAGTTTTGGCCAGATATCAACATCAGAAATGTCTTAAAAAATTTCAGAACATAACATTATGGTTTGCTACTATACATTTATTACCTATGCATCATACAATGATGCAGAAAACACTTGATTGCCCCACACTAGCAAATGCCAATCTTTTGTCTACCAAACTCCTTTAGTTTAATTTTTAAAAATTTATTGGACTGCCCCAAACCAATACAGCACAGGCCACTGATGCTGACATTACAAGGCCGTCTTATAGTTCAAATTTTTCAGACTTTAGGTTATGCCACATTACGTTTAATAACTTTTCCATTCACATGGCTTGGAACTGTTGCATTGCTATGCAAAAATAAAACCTTTAATTTTCTCAATGGTCAATTTTCAGAGTGTTTGCATTTGGGAAAGTGCAAGATTTTAAATTTATTTTCCAGATTTAATCAATTTGTAATAAGGAAGTTATAAAACAATAAAAGAGTAAAATATTTTATAAATAAACAAGAATTAAGTATTTAAAGAATTTTCAAACAAGTCTGTTGGATTCTCATGTATTTTCTGCTCCTTGAAAAAATAATATAACAATATGAAGAAATTCCCCTTTACTGAAGCAAAGATTTATTTATCTTAATACCTGTATTGAAAATTTAAAAGCAACAAATATATTTCTGATAATTTAGCGCAGCTCAATGCACTAGCTACGATCAAACCACAGATCACTGGTAACCAACAATTCAGAAATCTCCTAGGGTTTAATAACATTTTGGTAATTTATTTAACACTGATATGATTTTAAAGACATTTAATTTAAAATTTTAACACATATATTTGACACTCAGTATAAAACTGTTTAGCTGCTTTTTGTTTCCTTCGCTACTCTCATTATTACATGCCAAGCCTACATTGAAACTGAATAAAAGCAATATGAGCACGAGTAAAATCATAAAATAATCAGAAGACAGATTATCAGTTTTTTTTTTTGGAACTGAACCAGTGTTTGTTTATAAACAAATGTAACAATGATAGCTAAAGACGAAATTTTTTCATTTTGATTGTACACTGTAAACTCAATATTGTGTCAGGCTTCAAGATAAAGACCTAGATTTTGTGTAGATCTTTCTGAATTGCATAAAATGCATACTTAGAATTAAAAGAAAACAAATTATACTTCATATACAAATTCATGTCTTACCAGAAAGAACTATTATAGTCAACTCTTAATTATAATAATATCACAGACAATGTTCACAGTTAATCAAAGGACAATTAACATATCAAAGACTAATCCACATTATGAAACTGTTACGAAATGTACAGGCGTGATAAGATAATAAAATTGTAAAGCAGTTTTAGGGTTGCCACATTTGGTGACAAAATTGACGATATCCCATGGACGGATGGAGAACCTTCTGGAACAAATTCTTACTGGTTTAGCCCAGAACGTTCTCAAACACAAGTCGAAAGCTATATAAACCCCTGCTGGTCCGCAGTCAGTTAGTGTGCATGCCTCGTCTAGCGAGCTGATAGTCATTCATTGAGCGAGTCTCTAAGCGATAAGTCTAGCGCTAAGTTTTGTCTTAGACTGTGCTGAGTCGAGAGCTATACTCTTGTGTATCGTCGAGCGCATCGCGTGGAGTCTCGAGAGTACGTGGTGTTCAGAGAACGACCGAGGAGAGTCAGGAGCTGCATTCTGGTTCTTTGCAATGAAGCTGTCTCCACTGTGATAGTCTGATAACCTGAAGGCTGTGTCACTGATTGTTCCAGCGAGTGTATATAGTAGATCTCCGATGACTGTAAAACGTGACTTTGGAGCTGACCTGATATTGGCTAAATAAAGTGTGTTTCGATACTTCATCAAGTGTCGTAGTTATTCACTCCAAATCTACGAACCCCGTATGAACGTGAAGGAAGAAAATAACATAACAATATACTAAAAAATACTACTAATAATTTATACAGTTCTTGACTACTTTAAATGTTAGTTCCTGAAAATGTAAAGATAGTCACACAAGTTATCGGTTCATCTTAAACTTCAAAGTGCAATTACACCAATTCAGAGAAAGGTTTAAAATAAACTTTTATTTTACTTCTTAGTGTGATGGTTACACAACCAAATTAATAATTAAAAACCAAATCTCTGCATCTCATGGGAAAATCAGAATAAATGCTCAACCAAATAAAACCAAAATATTGAACACAAAGTAAAGTGCCCTACAAGCTTTGGTTCAGGCCCTAAATCTGTCATGAAATAAATACAGCTAACAAAGCTAAAGCTGATTTAAATAATTCAGTTGTGTGGAAAAGTAACAATGTAATAAATGCCAAAAGCTCTCTCTTCAATTTGCATGTTGGTGGGAGCCAATGAAAGTAAAAATGCAGATAAATAATACTGCAAGTGGTTAATAAACATAAAAAACCTGATAAATCTACTTATATTTTCACGCAGTTCAATCTGAAGACTAAGTGCACTTGATTATGTGAATGAAATCACCATTCAAATGTAACAGTACATTACAAATGGAGGAGGAATAAACATCATTAAAAAATGGTTTTAACTACTACTAATGAAATTACAATTAACGACTGTACATTTTACTTGTTTCTAACCGTTAAGCAATTTAATTTTAATGGATGATTTAACAATGTTTATATACTCAATTATGAACACTTATTTATTTATTTTTTGCTGAAACAACTCCCAAATTCTACATACATCACCTGCTTCATCGCTAGTACCTGATACATTTTTTCATCAGAAAAATTTAAGATTAATAAATGCTTGCACTAGTACTTTTTAACTGTTTCATAATAATGAGCCTTTTTTTTAAAAGGGACTGCTTAATCCATCCCTGGATATCAAGAGCTGATTGCATATAATCACAGCAGAATGAAATTCTATTACTAATGCACTGCAATTTAATCCTCCATAAAACAAGAACACATAATTTTCTAATCTACAGAATGCACATGAATACAGGAATTCCTGGATAAAACAGCGTAAAAACCTTACGTTAACGTAAGATGAAATTCCTTCTATAAAACTAAAGTGTGAATGAGCATTTAGCTCCTTTTTATAACGCCTCAGGGAAAGAGCAGTTTTCTAGAAAACTTACTTGCACAAGTTCTGCCAAGAAGATTTAAGACATTCTGGAGACATAAGCTTGCAAATTCAACGAAGTTTGAAATTTAATTAAATTAGTTCTAACAGAATTGCTAACAATCCACAGGTAAATGTACATACATAATTTCTTAATCTTATTTTCTCTAATTTCACAATTAAAAAATAAAAAAAAAAAAGAATTATATGCAAAATAGAAAACATATGTATTAAATACATATAGGCATAAAACGTATAATACATACTCTTTTGTCCCAGCCAGATATCATAACTCCCTGAAAAAGCAGGATCATATATTAATAATCAGCTAGGAAAAGTGGTAAAAATAAATTTATATATAATAATAAATGAACATACCATTGACAGGCCCATTCCTTTATAGTTAAACATTATATTTGCAAGAAGCTTAGATGCAGCTGCAACAGATATCCTTTCACGATTTCTCAATTCATAAATCCTAAACATTATAAATATGAAATTACAACCACATTGAGCAACATATCTGTTATATGTCTCCTAAAATAGGCTCATCTAGAACTAGTAAACAGATTACATAATAATAAAAATAAAAACAGTAATTTGTTATTATTTCAGTTGCTATATTATACATTTAATAAAGTTTAAAATACTTCAAAGCATTTTTAATAAATTACAATACTTTAACAGTCAGAGAAACATTTCGCAATAGTAAGTAATGTATATGATATATGGACAAACTGACCATCCAATTTCACTACAGTGTTGCTTCTACATTTTAAATCAGAATCTGCCGTTTCAGTTACCCACAATTTACTTTCTATAACTGAAAAATCTCAGCAGCTAATTCATGCTTAAAATTAATTCTATGTGTCCTTGAATGCTGCATGTACATGTCATTAAAAGAATAATGATTTCAAGCATTTTACTCTTTCTCGACCTATATTAGTGGAGGCAGAAACTCACTTTAACTGCTTTAAAGATATTATTTTGCTCCATCTTTATTAAAATTTATTACTGCCCTTTCATCTTTATTATTCCCCGCTGGTCAGCTTGGTTGTTTTCGCATATACTTTTATTTTAGTAATTAAATTTTTTTTAAACTATATTTGAGGTTTTTCTGTATTTTACAATTTTTAACCAAGATTGAGTTTTTATGTATTTTTGCCTTGCTCAAAGTGAGAACTGAATTGATTGAATTAGAAATATAACCTAATAAAGTTCAAGGAAATAAGTTTAAATGAAGTGCAGCAAAAAATGTACATAATTTAATAGGCCGTACAAGAAAGTCATGTGATGTCCCCATCAGATACTTTATTTCTTTTGACAGAGTAAAGCAGGGATGATTTTATTTTTTATTCACAGTTGGTCTGGTTAATTTTTACTGCCCTTTGCATCCTGTGTTAATTAGATTTTCCAAGAAATACTGGTGAAATCATCCACTATTTTGAAACATGATTTTCCCACAAAATTGCAAGTACCCGTTCTTTCAGAATAAAATGGTATATGATGGAATTTTATATTAATAATCGCTAATGAAGAATTAGAATAAGAACTGGAAACTTGCTCAAGAGAAGTCACTTGCCTTCTTATTTAGCAGAGTTCATGTGAGAGAAAAGCTACAGAGAATAACAATCAGTTGGGTGCAATTCTGATTTAAATTATCAAGCTGGAATTAAAAAAAAAAAAAAAGTTTAATTGATATGCAGATGCTGAAAATATACTTAATTGCCAAAATCCACCAATAGTTTATCAGCAGTACATTAGCATGTACCATGTAGTACCCAACTATCACAAAATTTGTTGTATTAAGAAAAGATTTCAGAAACATAGCGACTGATTAAACTTTATTGAATTGTCAAGGCTTAAACTGCTCGCACCTTTTGAAAGATCGGTTTTTAACCTTGAGGCGTGATCATTAAGATTAAACTTAACTTCATACAATTGTAGGCCCAATTGCAAAGAGTTTTTCTCATGGCAAATGGTGACTAATATGCATGAAGATGATCATGCAGTAGTACTAAGCAGCAATTCTAAATCAAAATTATCCACACGAACTTGTACATGAAATAAAATTAATGATACCAATGCACACATACACACACAAAAAAAAGTGTTGGAAATTTTCTGGTCAAATTTAAATGCAAAAAATGTATGCCCAGAGGGATCAGAAATTTCAACTTCACAGCAATATTCTTAAATGCTACAATTTATTCATTACATTTCAATAAATAAAGGAGTGATTTCAAAAACCTACTGCAGAAAATTCCTTCAATTACCCAGTGATGCAAAGTAACAAATCAGTTAATATAGATGTCTATATTACAAATAGTAATTAAAATTTATTTTATTAATATTTGTATTAACTAATATTAAGATTATTAAAGGATATAACAGAACTTTATTTAGCCGAACAAAAGGAGATAACTATCCTAGATGCTATTCATGCATTAACATCTAAGATTCAGAAGAAAATACAATAAATTCCATTGAAACAGACAACGAAATGCATAAGTAAAAGAATAATACTGGCTGCAAGGATATATCACGTATCTGAAATTTTTTTTTTTCAATCTTGAGTGGTCTATAAGCAAGAAATATTAAAACATTCGATTCTTGAACAATCATGCCAGCTCAATAAAATCCTTTTATAGCTCCTGTTCATCACACAGCCAGATCTCGTGATACAGGTGTCGGGAGGATGGAAACAATTCTCTTCCATTCTCGACTGCGGAATTAAAAATGACATGACTAGATCTTAACATGGGAGCTGTTCTTGGTGGTTAAAGATGCACATATACATGCATGAAATATTGTAAAACAAAAATATATATAGTAGAACCCTGCAAACTCCCCCCAAATCAATCTAATATTGCATTTTTCTTATTTCCATTATCTACGATTTTTTAAGGTATGTGTGTCTTAAATACATCTATTTAAATTTTTGAAGGCCAAGCAGTTCAAGTCAATCATTCTTTTCCTTTAGGAGTCATATAAACTGCTTCTCTTCTCATCCTAAATGAATCATCTTATTAAAGTTGAAATGCTGGATATCATATTTGTAGTGCATTAAGAAAACACCTTTAAAATTCCCATTTTAAAACATTTGTTTGTATTTGAACCCTTTAACTGTCAAGCGATTTTGATGATTCGGGTATATAAATAGTCATTTTTTTTATTGCAAAAATCAAATATTTAGTACAAAATAAAATATACTTAGTAGTTAAAAACTAGTATTTTGAATTAAATGCATAAAAATTTTAAGGTTTTGTAGCCGCTGCATATTTGAGTGGTAAAGTTCGCTTCTAGTGGAGCATTATTTTCTAAAAATTCAAAATAAAATTAATTTAATTATTTTCTAAATAAAAATGAATACCTATTAGTAGTTCAGTAATTCAGTCTTGTGTGGTATACAACTGGAAACACTTTTCCAAGCACAAACCAACTCCACAATCACTACACCAGAATCGTGATTCCTTCCTTATCTTTTCCCCATTTTTATCCTTTTTCGAACAACACACTTTGCACTGTCTTGTAGGCTCACGTTTCGCAGGAAGTAGGAGGAAAATGGGATATAAAATGTCGTTCAGTAAGACGGGCAGGCAGAGTTATCTATTGTAGGTGGTCTGCCAACATTCTTTTGTCCAGAAGCTGCATCATCATATTTATGTAAAAGCTCTTCTACAACTTGGATTCGAAATTCTAAAAATGTATTACGTTTCCCAACTACATTTTTATAGAGCAAATATGAGTTCCAGAGTACCTTGTCTAGTAAATGTAAAAATATCTTTTTATAATACTTTTTCTGACGTTTTCGGATTGTTGGATGAAAGGATATTTCCTGATCACAGCGATCTACACCACCCATAGTTAGACCGTAATTAGAAACAATCTTCGGCTTGAGTATATCTTCATTTTTTATTTGTTTTTTATTTTTGAGGCTGACCATGGAAGTATCATGAATACTGCTCATCAAACACACATCCTTCACCTTCTTGAATCTTCGGTTGAAGAATCTAATCATCTATATAACGTTTCAAAGAACTGGACGCCTATTTTACAACAAAAAGATCCCATGCACTTTGAAACCAAAGCACTTATAACCTCTAACCTTTGAAATCTTCAGTAAAGTTCTGTCATCTATTGAACTGAGCGCACATTAACTTTCCCCGAGATACAGACGGGTTTGACAAAGAGATGAAGCCGAAATAAACGTCTCCCGATATATATTCGGGTATAACAATACGATACACTCAAAAAAAATTACCCCGAGTAATACTCGGGCGTGACATTTTCGAACACCAGTGCTGTACCCGAGATTATCTCGGGCATGACAGTTAAAAGGTTAATGTGCTAGTGCTAAAGGAATTCCCATTTTTTCTTTCCAAAAATCGTAGCTTTTAGATGACAGAGCTCTTATGACAATGCAACGTGAAATATCTTCACTAGTCCACCTGATTTTTCCTTCTTTTCTAGCATGCGTTAATCTGCGTCTTTGTAAAAATTGCTTTAGACGTTTTTCCAAATTCTCCGATCTGTGATGTTTTTTCTTAAATTTCGTTTTTGGGATTTTAATTTCTGAATTTCTGATATATTTTTTCTAGATGTCGTCCACCTTCTTTGTCGCTGAGCAAACATTCTAAAATTTTCTTTCTCTATTTTTCAATATTTTATTACAATTTCTAAGGATATTATTTTGTTCTTCAAATTATCAATACATTCTTGTTTATCGTTACACTTAGGCATTCAGGCCTAAGTGTAAGTTCACTTAGGGCATAATACATTTTTATTGGTTTTTTTTTATAAAGTTGCGCAGAGTAATTAATATTCTGCGCAATTCTTTTTTTTTTGAGTTTCTTTCATGTTATTTTTTGTTTATTTCACTATTTGTAAGATATTGAAAAGTTTTGCATGATTTTTTTTTTCTTCAACGGAAAGTTGGTTAATTTTTTTATTAGGATAATTAATATTTATTTTAAAGGATGTAGCTTATTTCATTGCAATTTTTTTCTCTTGAAAATATAAGATAAAATATCATTAATTCTACTTTGCTTTTATTTTTGTTTTTTGTATTCTTTTATGTTATTTATTGGTCATTTCACTGTTTTAAGATATTGAAAAGTTTTGAGTGATTTTTTTAGGAACAAAGTTCTTAATCTCCTTTATACCATTTGAGTTCTTAAGATTTTGCAAAGGGAAGTTGGTTAATTTATTTATTAGGATAATTCATATTTGTATGAAGGGATATTGCTTATTTCATTGTAATTTTGTTATACGTAATAACTTTTTTTATGAAGTTTTTCTGCAGAGTAAAATTCTATGCAGTTTTTAAATTTAACGTTTGGTGTTCCCTTCAGCCATTTTTCCGGTACATTTAAAAGCCAGACGAAGGCTGGCAGCGAAGCTGCTAGTAGGTTATAATTAAAAAATGTTTCGAAAAATTTATAAAAATTTATTTTAAAATATAAATTTTAAAAATAAAACACAAAAAGTGGCTGAATTTTATTTGGAATGAACCTAAATTTCGAAAACTGAAAAGA